GGGGGTGATCCCATTGTCAGGAATACTAAAAGAGAAGGGAAAGTATTGTAGGAGTTCTCTTTTTTGAAAAAAAGATAAGAGGACTACCTGAAATCTGAAGTATCACAGTCTTGCAGTAGACATAGTACATGAAGTTGATGACAGTGTTTGTTTTTTTATATATATATCTGAATGTCACAGTGGGAGAACTTTACTTGGCTGAGCCAACATCCAGAACTCTGACATTTGCTTTTCCAGAGGACTGGAACAATGTCTTTGACTTCAACCCATCCTGATTTTCATACCAAGTTTTCCCATGATAAAATAGACCTGATAGACCTGGATAATATTAATTCTGGAGAAATAATTTCCCCCCTTTCTTTCTTTGCTTTCATTACTGTTTCAAGAAAAGACACGGAGATAGTGAATATTTTGTTAAAGAGAAGTGTAAAGAGAGTTTTTGTGGGTCATTTAACTATATGAACATTTCTGAGAGTTACCAACCAATGTTTATGTATTTGTTAAAAGTATTTATGAACTACTTTCAATTGATTGAGCTAATATACAACTGGAGGATTCCCAAGCTGATGTAACATTTAAATCAATATAACAAGCATTGAACATCAAATTAAAACTCAAATTGAAATGTCTTAAAAAGAAATGAGAGAAAAATTAAAGTCTATTGAAAGAAAAATGGAATAGATACTCTTTATCCCACCTAATAATAATAATAATAATAATCCAGAAATGCAGCCAACTGAACTTTAATCAGAAGAGAATTTTGCAGTTAGATGCTACAGACAAGGCTATGTTCGTTATATCTACCAGTCTAAAGTACTGTAGAGATGGGAAATAAACAGTGCCTTGAAGAAGTTTTCCTAGTAAGGTTTCATGTAATCATAATTCCTGCTCCTGCAAAGTGTCTGAGATGTGTTGTGGAAAGTCTTTCTTCCTTCCCACCAACCTTATCTTCTTTTCTAAAGCTCCATATTGGTGAAATGATACATGGCCATATAAATCCATTAAAATATTTTACGTTCCTCTAGGAGACATTTTTATGCATGAATAGGCACCATAAATATAAGTATACTACAAAAGTCAAGGGTTATTTGGTACAACCATATATCACCACCTTCACAGACACAGCTCCTGGGGACATAAAACAGGGCTTTCTCAGTGACTGCCTCCTAAACTCTGGAATTCCTTTTCCAGGGAGGACACAATGGCTCCTTCCTTGTTGCCCTTCTGTCAGCAGATAGATATATATATATATATATCAGTGGGTTTTAGAACTCAAGGTTTTTAAAGCAAGGACATTTAAAAGGATGTTGTATAGTTTTTATTTTAAATTTATTTTAAATTATTTGTAGATGTATGCTTTAAATTGTGTCAATACTTCAGTTCTGTTCAATGCTTTGTATATTTTGGCTAAAAGATGAGATATAAATAAAGGTGATAATAATGAATCCAATGCATGTATTGAAGATGATTCAAAAGTTCACTTACAATAGGATACAATGTACTAGCGTTTTCATTATATCAATAAAACTTTGTGTATTTACAAGATATACATAAGACATACAAAATACATAACAAATACAAAACACAATGGAAGCAATAATTTAATATAAATATAAAGACCCTGTCTATAATTAAAATAAAATCATTAAAATAATCTGTGATCTGAGAAATTGGTCCCCCACCCCAGATAAGAGAAAGTTGGT